AAATTAGGGTAGATATAATGGATCTTGCCGGGTGAGCTTTTGCTCAAGTTTGTTTTTTTGTAACGATCTACTTTGAGCATAGTAAAAATCATGGTTGCGGAAAGTATACGTTTTATCTGTTAAAAGATACCTTTTTTAAAATTTTTCTATTATGAAATCTAACAACGTAGACCGAAACTGTATATAATGGATTCTAATTTTAAATACGGCACGAGCACGTGCACGTTGCAATAAGTACTAGCTGTATCTCCACGTTGGTACTTGTACATGAATTAATTTTGGAAGGGTGCTTGAAATGGTGAATGTGGAAAATTATACTTCGATCAGACATTTATTTGATCAATACAATACGATAAAAAGGACTACTTTAATAAATTTGATAGCGTACTACTTTACATTCATGTATGTAGGTATTGTATCTTGGAACTTCTACTCCATTTTCTTCAATTTATAGATGATAAAAAGGCAGTCGAGCGCAAGTTTAAATTTTACTACCGTTATCATTTACCTTGCCCCAATTATTTTGCTTACATCATCCATTATTGATTTTATTAAGAAACAAAAAAGAGAATTTAGATAATACCGTAGTGAGCTGCAGTTACGCTTTCTGTGGGCGTCTTGGTTAGGCATATCGAAACCAGTTGCATTCGTACGTCAATTACACGCTGAGCTCTGAATCGTAATTAATTTCCACAATAGTACAGTGATTGTCATTTGCCTGTCTTTATTTGCATATCGTATATTATGTAACATTTTGGCTATTCTAGCTGAATTAAATATTGAAGATTCCATGCGGCGATTTTGTCAGAACAAATTGTCACATACTTACGAAATCTGCTATGTACAATGTTTATGTGTTTACGAAGAAGCTGATGTCTCCAGGTGTTCGAAAACTATTAGGTAGTTTAAATTAGTTGTGTTCTTGTTCAAAGATTGGATTCCCAGATGCCAACTTTGCCGAGATTAAAATATTCTGCCTCAACGCGTTTTTAGTATGACGTAATGTTAATAATAATAATAATATAATCATATATTTATTTGATCTCTCAGCAATAACAAGAAGAGAGTTTAAAATTTGGTAAAATAAAACTAACTAATTTGTCATTGTCCGTCCAGTGTTCTGTTAATTTAATATGGTATTTCACTAAATAGTTTACGACGAGTTGATTTCATTTAGGTTGGTTTAAAGATCTAATATTCAATAACAGTAAATCGTACTTTTTGGTTTCGGTAATTCCTGTAGGTTCTACTTCTGCTCCTGGACTCGATTTGACTTCAGGTTTTTGTCTCGATCGCGCAGCCTTTGGAGCTGCTGAAAAAACTGACCTATGGTGAATCCGGTCGACTACAGGTTCCTATAGTATCCTCCTCCGACACTCCGCTCTGCAGGTGTTTGTACTGAAAGTTCTGACATCACGAGTAGATGTGTCTGGTCCAGACGTTCCATTTTACCTTTACGAGAACCCTCGTTGAGAGTAACATGAAAAATAAAACCAATTCCTCCCCCCCCCTCCGCACCAACAATTTTACCCCCCTCATTAAAAAAAGTATTACATGAGAGGCATGGGTATGCAAAATCTGGCATAAATTGTTTGTGTCAGAAACTGCTTCTCTGGAAATAATTAATGGAGGTGGCCCCCCCTTCACACACTGTATGTGCATTTCAATTATTTTTAACGTTAAAAGTTTGTTGTAATTTGAGTTGGTTACAAAATTCGTAATTTTATTTAAATAATCACCTTGTATTTTATTTATTTGTTTTTTATTTGTATTTGTTTTACTACGTCTGGAAATGGAAGAAGTTTTGTTATCGCAGCGTAACCGAATTAGATGCAAGATAAAAACACATATGTGCCGTTTGCATATTTTTTTAAATCGTTAATTAGAGCTTGTTTGGAGATCGACCTTAATCGATTTTTGTTTGTTTTGGCGGACGCTGAAACGTAGTCGCTTATGGTTTTGGCGATCGGCAAATTTGCCGTTATTTAAGCGTATTATTGCAAGATAGTTCATCTTGCTAATTGGAAAGTTTATGTAGAAGAAAGTTAGTTGAGTGCAACGAGTATTAGGAGATTTAAATCGTCCTGATAAGAGTGATTTACGGAGAAGTCGTTGTTTCTCAGTACCTGTTAAAGGGAGTTTTTCAATCATCAAAGAGCCAAATTTTACATCTGTAATTACAATGAAAATTTTAGTGCAATCAAAGAAGTGAAATTCCCATGTATCATCAGTTCGTATTTGTTTATGCGTCATTTATTGCCAATCGCAGTACGACCGAAGGTTTTGGACTATTAACACTTACGTAATTAAGACTGTTTAATCAATTTTTTTATCGATCGCTGGTTGCGTGGTATTTGTTTTTCTGGCCCTGGGCGCCTATTTTTCTTTCAGATTATTTAATTTATTCATGCCGAATAAGTTTGTTTCATTTGTAAATAGTTAGGTTTGTGTTTAATCGAGCCCAAATTACGACCTAGATAAGAGTTAATACTAAATTGTTCTATTTCGTATCATGATAATGAAAATTTGTTAATTAATTCTTTGGAATTTTAGATTGTTAAAGCTCCTGCATTTCTCAAATTAATAAAATTTACGTCAAAAATAAATAAATTAAATAATTATATGCATTCTTATATTTACTCACGTCAGTTGTCTAATAATGTATATTTCTTACAAAGCTGACTCCTCTTGTGCCTGTTGTTATGTCATGACGAAGAGATCCTTCTATATTGTTGATTATCATCTAATGGAAACGGATATTCACTTACATGGATGCAGTACCTAATAATAAATAAATAAATAAATATATAATAATGATTAACGGAGAAAGATGTTTGATATTTTTTCAATGGACTAAATAGAGATTACAAAACAGATACAATTTCCTTTGACAAAATCTTTGATACCATATTCACATTTCTTATTCCCTCCAAGATCTTTGCACCCCATTTGTAACATTTGCAGCCACTTCTAAAATTGTCTAAGTTAACGTAAAAAATGGTATTTTCAAAAATTGATAAAAACACGTAACTTTAAATTGATATTTTTTTGAACATGGTCCATCGTTCCTCTAAATGGGGTTGAGTGATATCAAAGATTAAGAAAATCGGATCTCAAAGCCTTCCCTATACATTTATTGTAAATGTATGGGGAATGCTTTGAGATCCGATTTTCTTATTCTTTGATATCACTCAACCCCATTTAGAGGAACAATGGACCATGTTCAAAAACAATAAATGTATGGGGAAGGCTTTGAGATCCGATTTTCTTAATCTTTGATATTTAAATTGATAGATGCTAGAGGATCAAATAAAAGATCAAATTAAAGGTAGGTACTCTTATACTCTACAATTTTAAATGATCCATGATTTTGCCCTATAAGTATTGCCGTTGAAAAACTTAAAAAAGTCGTTGATTTTTGACCACAGGAATTTCTCACGACGTTATAGTCACATTTCCAAACTTCTTGGATTTTTCTCTCTCTTCGTAGAAAAAAAAAAGTTAAGTGCAACCTTTCTACTTTTTTCACCCAAAATTTTTAACTAATTCGACATAATAAATCTTGTGTATCACACGCCCATATATTCGTAATTTGCAGTTCTCGGTCTGCCAATTTACTCGCACTCGCAAGGACTCATTTTGTGGATGTGTGAATACTATTGTTTCGGTGTACTATGATTGAAAATTTTGTGATGCATTTGTGTCTGTCAAAGAAATTGAGGTGTGAGAAAAGCGACTAATTTTACCTTCCAATTAGGTATTGGAATTAAAAGTTGCTATTTTTATGCTGTTTAATACCAAAATAAAGTTAAGGGAAGTAGTTGATATTTTGATTTGCTCTCCCAGAAAATACAGCTTCCCTAATTTATTTTTGAGCGATATAGCTTTAAGATATTTAATTTGACCCAGGTAGGTAATTTGTTTATTCACTCCTTGCTTTTACAATACAACGTTAGACTTAGATTACAGATTATACTGTAGGTAAATTTGCTAAACGATTCAAACCATGTCAAGTGATAAAATATTAGTTGCATTTAAAAATAATCTTGTTCCTAATATGGCACTAAGTACAATCTCTAAAAACCATAGTTATGAATAGTAACTTTGGGGAGGGCATATGCACTAAAGCCATTTTCTATTAAAAAAAAAGTATTCGTGTAAAAGGACCATCAATCATCTTATAGAATCCGTTAATGTCTGAGGAAACGAATCTAAAACCAATTTTCCCCCATACAAAGGGAATGGATTTATTATTATTGTGTGATTCATATCTTGTAGACAGTAGACGTATGTTTCGTGACAATGCAATCCGAATTCATTTAGGGAACAGTTTTTTTTATTATTGCACCTATTCACATGCTGCCAATCGATAGCTACGAAGCAAAATTTACCATGCATCCCAGAAAAATTGTAAGAACGACACCTCATTTTATGTTCATTTAAGTGACTCCATTACGATGCAAAATTAAGCCATTTCTTTGAAATATGAGTCACATAATCTTTTTACGGAACCAGTTCGTTTGGAAATTGTAGGTACAGTGTCGTGTCCGTTACACACGGCCGCGTTCGTAGTTTATCTTAGAGTGGGATCTTTCTATTTGCGGAAATTTATTAGTGCATCAATTATTGATTGAAGTTGTCGTTCAAGTGCAATCGGAGCGCATGCGGCACGTGCGTGCGTGTCTTTGGCAATTCACGACGGATTGTAATTTATAGTTCGAGAAGCGGCTCTGGTTACTTTGAAACGTGAAACGTAACGTAGGTCAGGATGATCGTTATCAGTAAAATTTGTTTTATCTTTACAGTCGAATAGTAACGTGATCGCTGTAAAGGTATAAAATTGTGATGAAAATTTCAGCGAGAGCGCTTTGTAGGTAGAGTCTTTTGATTCCCATAAAACGCAATGAGCTTTTAACACTTTGATCTCTGATTCTGCTTATATTTACAATTTAAATTCTTGTTCTTGTATGTCGTTCCTAATGTGCTTTTACTTCTTCCAGAGACGTAAGAACTATCATCCTGCAAAAGGGCAATCAAGGGCTCGGTTTTAATATTGTCGGAGGAGAAGATGGAGAAGGAATATTCGTTTCGTTTATCCTAGCGGGAGGAGCGGCGGATGTCAGCGGAGAACTGAGAAGAGGAGATCAAATTCTTAGTGTTAATGGCGTAAACTTGCGTAATGCAACGCACGAGGAAGCGGCGGCCGCGCTTAAGGTTTTATTTGCTTAATTTTTTCTCTCTTTGAGTTTCGCGTTTAAAGGGTACTAATCAAGTTGCAACAATAGTGGCGCAATACAGGCCGGAGGAGTATAACCGTTTCGAGGCAAAAATCCATGACCTAAAACAACAAATGTCGAATCAAGCGATGACGGGAACTCTCTTAAGGACGTCGCAGAAACGGTCACTTTTCGTTAGGTATGTCCTAGAGGTGTCGAGTGGTTTATACTAATATTTAGACAATTCTAGAGCATTATTTGATTATGATCCGACAAAGGATGATGGTTTACCTAGTAGAGGGTTAGCGTTTCAGTACGGAGATATTTTACATGTTACAAACGCTAGCGACGACGAATGGTGGCAAGCAAGGCGGGTACTTAACAATGGTGATGAGCAAGGAATGGGTATTGTTCCATCAAAGAGGAGATGGGAAAGAAAACAGCGCGCTAGAGATAGATCTGTGAAATTTCAGGGACACATGCCGAGTGCGGTTGAAAAGGTAAACAAGGGAGCAAAAATTTTTTCATTTAAGTGTTAATGTAAACATTTCTATGTTAAAGAGTCCTCACTTTAATTTGCACTCCCTTAGGAAACAAAGTTGCATACCCTAAAATAACTTGCCCCATTATTATCTATATAGAAATGAAAATCAACTTACCCAGCTTTTACGCTATCGTTTCCCTTGAACATGCGACGACTGTGCCGTACTAATTACTCTTATAGCAGAGGCGACACTTAAAAAGCTTTTGATATGGCTCATCATTTTAATAGTTCGCCCCGGCCTTTTACCCTTACCCTTTCTAGCTTCCAGAAATTCATGACATCTTTTCATTAGCATTTCTCATTACTTTACTTGTTGCCTATTATTTGTACGTTTCTTTTCAGCAATCAACATTAGATAGGAAGAAGAAAAACTTTTCATTTAGTCGAAAGTTTCCCTTCATGAAAAGCAAAGATGACAAATCCGAAGATGGATCTGACCAGGAACGTAAGTTTCATAACCATCCGTAATTTGATCCAAAATAATTTCATTTATTATTATACTCTTAAGTTGGTTTAATTTGCTAACACACAGCTACTTATTTACTTTAACAATTAGCGTATATTATTTTTTGTTTTTAAACTACAGACTATTCGCGATCTACTACTCCTATTGCCGATAAAGATAGTGAACCTACTCGTAAGTACTAACACACTTCGTATTTTTCTTTTCTTATACTCTTTCTTTACTTTCATTTCATTGTGCACTATTGAACTTTTGGTTATGTTGAAAGCCATTAAAATTTTTTTGATAATATGTATTAATTCAAATATTTTTTATAGCGTTCATGCTGTGCTACACGCAAGATGACGCAACTACAGAAGGTACAGTATTCTTTTTGTTTTATTACGACTTGCGTGTTGGTTTTGGTTTACTATATAAATTTTGTTTTGGCTTCTTTCTGTGTTTCATAGTACAGGTGAAATATTATATCGAGTTGAACTGCCATACATGGAAGAAATCACATTAATATATCTGGAGAATAATGATAATTATGACGACTATAGTAAGTGTGATTGTTGTGACTGCATGGCGGTGAGCAACGGCCCCTTGCATTGACTCCCAAATTTTCTGTTCTTTAACTGAAAATATTAAATCCACGATGAAAAACTTGTATTAAACAATGAGAGAACGCTGTTTAACGATTTTATAATAATTTCCCTAAATCTTGATTTCTTATAATTAAACCTTAATTACCTTTATTATCTTTAAACAAATATGGCGATTACATGAACTGCATTTATTTGAACTTAAATTTATCTGTTTCCTTGTTATGCTCACCTGCCTGGTTTTGATAAAATATGAATGTAGTTCAGAAATTTGAAGTTTTTTGACTTTTGTATGCTACATACATCAATGCAGAAAAAACTTCAAATTTCATGATTGAAAGATTTTAAAGGCTTGCTGTAATGATATTTATCAAGCTGCCTATAGGAATTTTTGCGCAGAAAGTAGAGGAGGGTGGAGTTGATCATTTAAGTATATTATGTATTAACGAGCGACAAAAAGCGAGCTTATGATGTTGGGATTCTGTACGTCCGTCCGTCGTGGACACGATAACTCACTAACGGTTTCGACTTTTCCCATTCTGTTTTTAGCAATAGGTAGACCAAGGGACTAATTAATTGATTAAATTTTGGTCAAGTTCGTCAACCAGCAGTGACTTTGTCGCTCGTTGTCTATCTTGGTGCAGTTTATTAGTATTTATTTTATAAAATTTCTCAGAACACATCTAAATCTCGGCACAACAAAAAAATCAAACTCGACTTCAAATTTCAAATTCTAAGGCAAATAATGGCCGCGATCAAATTCCTTAAATTCCAAAAGAATTATTTACACAAATTTTGAAGTCATCTGAAATAAACTTTGAGTACGGATCAACAACATTAATTCTAATTAAAGATGAGACATTTATCTGGTTCGTTAAAGGGTTCGAATAAACACACGATTTACATGATTTCAGATAACAAAATTTATTTTAAACACACAAAATGGACTACAAGAAAGTCTGTTTACACATTCCGCGTAAACGTTCTGTTACAATGAAACATATAATGAAATCTACTACTAAAATCCCAAAAATCCGGGCACACAAACCACTAATTGCCACAGAAAAACGCACTTAACAAAACGTATAGCACTAACTTGTTGTTCTTTAACTTATCTTCTGATCAGGTCGCAGGAAGTAGTAATTTTACTCAATTTCAATTTATCTGGTTGGACAACCACGACAGATGTCCGGTAACAGTAGACGACAACTTCAATGAAAAAGTGCTACACCCAAACTTTACGTACGTCTTCTCAAAACTTTCACTTGAAGTCTGCTGGTTTCCTGATTATTACATAATTGTACTTGACAAAAAATATGAAACTTAACGCAGGACGCACGTCTTCTAAGCTTGAAAACTAACAGCAACTCCGTCTCGGTATTCGCAAAAGGTCCTGTTTCTTATGCCAACTCCAGTATTTAACATGTCTGCTAACACAAATTTACGCGGAATTCTCTTATCTCAGATAAACAATTTTCTATTAAAAAAAACGCAGTTTTAGTCCATTACAATGCATTGTTAAAGCTAATAAATTACATCAACCTTTTATAAAAATAATCAAAGTGCTCATAAATTAAATTATAAATGTCACGATTTAACAGAGCAAAATTGATAATGAAAATAACCGATAAATTGCCCTACATTTAACAATTCTAAGAAATAATCTTTTACAACCACATTCTCCATTTAACCAATTCTCTATCTTTAATAATAAACTTACCTATACAATCCTACGTGATCTAGAACACACTGTATACTGTCAACATTTCGGAATAAATATCAAAGTATGTATTTCACGGACACTGTCATCCCGGTAACTGACATCCTGGCGGTCAACCATCCTCTGTGACTATTTTGTACTTCCCGGCGTTGGTCACCTCGGCGATTTAAACCTGGTGATGCGAGATCCTGGCACCACAAGGGGACTATTATTCAATCCCGTTAAACGTATAGTATATTCTACACTGAACCCTTTGCAATTGGATCACTTAATATTCATGGAAATCAATTCTTCTTTAGCGTTTTATGTACCCATGATTTTTCTTAAATAGGTAAACAGATAAGAATTACACTACCAAAGTGAACATTTTTTGAATTGGGCGTTTTGAGGCCCGTTCCGTAAAATAAAAATTTTGTTCATCCAGAGAGACTGCGGATTCCGACATGCGACTTAAGGCTAGGCGAGTATTTACCACTTTACCTATTAGTGGTCATTTTTTAATACAACCATATTGATACATTAGTTTTCTCACCTGAAAAATGATTGAATGAGAATTTCCCTGTAATTAAAGAATAAATTTATATTGAAAGATACAATATCCATGTTTGACTACTTTCGTTTTCAAGACACTAATGGCAGTGTGCACCGACAAATTAAGCCCAGTTTAGCTTAAATATAGCCTCTAATCCCTGGCAAGATTTATAATTTCTCGGCCCCTACAGCCATAAACCATTGCATGTAAACCATCACGTATTTTGCGGTCTCAAAATTCAGAATGTACTTCGAATATCTCGAAAGAACTGATTCAAAGGCGAGCTACGAAAATTGCAGGATCTTTACAAAAAAATTGAATGGAGAATTACAATTATTAGTAGGGAAGGGCCTCACGCACGTGTAACACTTTCTAGCTGCAAAATGGCTAATTTAAATAACTCTATGCCAAATATATTATTATACAGGGTGTCCCTAAAAGGTCTGTACAACGAACTACCAGGGGTTCTTGGTATCAAAATAGGATGATTTAACCCAACTTACCTCTATCCAAAAGTGCCTCGGTAAGGCGCTATCTACCGCCAAAGATTTAAAAAAAAATCGTTATTTTTATTTTATCGGAAAATGGTTTTGCCGATTAAAATGAAATTCGGGATGTGAATGTCTAATGTAAAAAGGGTCTTTATGATATCATCGTTTTGATTGTAGTTGCTATGTAGGTGGTAAAATACTGACCATCCACATCTGAAGAGGTCTAAAACTTTTTAACTACTATTTTGACGGTTCTGAATTTTTAGACACTGATAGACAGTTTACTTGCAAGCATTTTTTGTCTCTTGATGAATATCGCTATCTGTGATGGTTTACGAAAAAAAAAAATTTAGGCATGATGAATGGCATGCACCATACATGCGATTGTTCCTCAAAAACCATAAGTGCAAGCAAGAAGTAGGCTATGACGATTTGGAAACCTGTGAGTATACTCCCTAACGCATTGGCGACCATTTCCACGACTGTATCCAAACACTAATAGCATATCAGTTAACTTTGCGTTACTGTATTGAAAGGCCATATTACAATTTTAACAATGAAATTTTAAGTCTTCAAACAAAACGTGAATTGTTCAAGTTTAAGAAACAACAAACAAACGTTACGCCACTCTAAGGTTTCACAGCCATCTTCTGATTTTTTGAGGAACAATCGCATGTATGGTGCATGCCATTCATCATGCCTAAATTTTTTTTTCGTAAACCATCACAGATAGCGATATTCATCAAGAGACAAAAAATGCTTGCAAGTAAACTGTCTATCAGTGTCTAAAAATTCAGAACCGTCAAAATAGTAGTTAAAAAGTTTTAGACCTCTTCAGATGTGGATGGTCAGTATTTTACCACCTAAGCAACTACAATCAAAACGATGATATCACAAAGACCCTTTTTACATTAGATATTCACATCCCGAATTTCATTTTAATCGGCAAAACCATTTTCCGATAAAATAAAAATAACGATTTTTTTTTTAATCTTTGGCGGTAGATAGCGCCATACCGAGGCACTTTTGGATAGAGGTAAGTTGGGTTAAATCGTCCTATTTTGATACCAAGAACCCCTGGTAGCGCGTTGTACATACCTTTTAGGGACACCCTGTATAAATTATGTAATAAAATATTCGCATGGTGTTCGCGGGTATAATTTTCTCTTACCAAAACTTTGCGTCCGGAATTGTACTGCGTAAGCCGTAAGTCCTAAATTAGCTTCTAGTGTGGTTCAAAATTTTTGCAATAGCAATGGACTTCTGTGTCCATCTTAAATTTGCTATTCCCGTTTTATGTTAGCGTTGGGAAGGGCTAAACTAACTTGCCATTTTTTGTTGCAGTTTAGTTTGCCTTTGTAGATTTTATTGCGCAATTTCTTTTCCTTTGGTGAAACCACAGATTTGCTATAAATATTCATTACTTAACAGCCTTTACTTTCTTTTTATATAAATTTATCGCCATATTATAGTTACTTGTAGAATATCACTTTCTGGCCAGAGCAACTTTGCATAGCTTAAGCATAATAATAAGTCAGCTCTGCATTAACATAATACTTAGAGATCTTTCAGTTTAAGTAAGTAGTATGTTTATGTTCAATGTTTCTTTTTATTTGCAGATTTGCAATTTTTACTTTTGTGTTTAACTAATATCCTATTCCAGCTTCTTACTTAGAGGTTTGCAGTTTTCTGTATGCGTATATAAATAGTTTTGTTATTGTTAAAGAACTGGGATAATTACGTTCAAGTATGCCTTGTAGAAATTAGCGGTAGTCTTGCAACGGAACGAGATACTATTTATCAATTTTTCCTTTACATAATAAAGCCAGTTTACTGCGAATATTGGAAATGTACTTTATAAATAAAATTTTTCTTCTCAGGTAATGAAGAAAGTGTATTATCATATGAACCAGTTCAACAAATGCAGATTAGTTATACTCGACCTGTTATCATTTTGGGACCTTTAAAAGATCGCATCAATGATGACTTAATATCGGAATTCCCTGACAAATTTGGGAGCTGCGTTCCTCGTACGTATTGCTAACTTTAAAAAGCTTATTCTAATTGTATTACTTAGATACCACGAGACCTAAACGTGAATATGAAGTTGATGCGAGAGATTATCACTTTGTTGCCTCTAGGGAACAAATGGAAAAAGATATTCAAAATCATCTGTTTATTGAAGCGGGCCAATATAATGATAATTTATATGGCACCTCAGTAGCTTCGGTGCGGGAGGTTGCTGAAAAGGTAAGAATTTTGTTTATTCATCTCTTTCTTTCCTATTCAGACAAAATAATTCTTTTATTCTCTATAAAGTGGACAATATTTGTGTGATATATTGGTTTCCAATGTTCTCATTCTGCATTCTGTAATCTGGACTTACTCGGTTCAACTCACGACCTTGGCTAGCGTCTATGTAATCGTTTTTTTCCAACAAACGCGTCAAATAAGCCAATTTCGAAAAAGAATTCAAATCACGTTTTACAACATTTAATTGCAAGTATTAACAAAGATTTCGTAGAATTATAATAAAAACAAAAGAGCTTTGGTTGTAACCAGTGTTGGTGTAGAATGTGTAAAAATTTCCTTCATAAACTTTTACCGATACAGTTGACTGAGTGAACACAGTAAATTTTTTTATTTGTTACTCAGTTGTAAACGTTGATTAACAAGACAAAACGCAAACGGGTAAACGTCATGTTTAAACGCTACTGACTTGTAAAACTGACAGCAGACCTGTAAAAATTTTACAAGTTAGTAATCTAGTAATTTCATTGGCCAGAATTAATGCGAAGTCTCTGTTACATGGATAACATGATATTTTAGACATTTCTTCAAGATTAATTTAAGAACTAATTATTTACGTTTACAAATGAGTAACAAATAAAATATTGTACATTATACGCCAGGTAATAGTTTTTACTGGCTCTAGGAGGTGACAAGCTCGCCTAAAGGCTCGCTAGTCAAATTCTCCTATCGCCAGTAAAAACTCACTTACCTGGCTAATAATGTAAAATACTATTACGATTCTACAAGACGTGAATTGAACAGCAGTCTATTGAAAATAACATCTTTTGTAAACTGATAACACTTTTTAACGTAATTAAATTTGAATTTATATAACAAAGTTTTTCACTGTGATATTTACTTTATTATAGAGTCATTGTCATCCCGTCTTTTCGCCCGTCATTTTAACAATTCACATAAATAATCTTGTTTGTCTCAACAGTACCTTTAAAAAAATTTAATTTATCTTGTTTATAGATTTAATTGATATTTTTAGGGAAAACATTGTATTCTGGATGTAAGTGGAAATGCTATTAAGAGACTACAAGTAGCACAACTTCATCCAATCGCAGTCTTCATCAAACCAAAATCGGTCGAGTCAATACTGTACGTATACATTGTTAGTGTGAGTGTTTTGCATTTGCTTTTAAATATAGGGAAATGAATAAACGAATGACGGAGGAGCAAGCAAAGAAGACTTACGAGCGCGCTTTAAAAATGGAACAAGAATTTTGCGAATATTTTACAGGTATGTACGTCATAACGTGGTGCATTTTTAATTTACCAGTGCTCCTGTAGCCGTTGTCCAAGGTGATACTCCTGAAGATATTTATAAAGAAGTAAAACAAGTAATTCGAGAACAATCTGGTCCAAGCATCTGGGTACCGGCTAAAGATCAACTGTGACGTTCAGCCCTGCCGGCATGGACATTTCCTCCACGCTCACTGTTGCACTGAACTTGAATAGATGTTAACCAGGATCCGATATTTAACTACGACGGTGCCTCCTAACGTGTGCTTGTGACCAGCTCAGTTATTTGTTGATTGACCTATAGTGGCCCCAAATAATCTCATTAGTGTCTGGTGATATTTCATAGCGTTACCGTGACGGCTTCTGTAAATGTGAAAATACCCTTGGGCTCTTCAAAGTAAAAGTCCGGTTTGGTCGCACTTGTGTTGTTTGTGAGATTATTCAAAAATTTTAGATCCACATGAAAACTCCTTTATACAATAGCAAATTGTTAATTGATGAATTTAGTAGATTTATTGATGTTTCTTTGTAGCGTAGATCACTTAATCCCTGCCAATAATTTGTAACAATTGTAAATACATATTAAGGATCTATGTGTAGTGTAAAACAAACAAATCTGTTATTGTTATTCAAAGATCAAGTTGTGACCTAACTTATTTGCGTTAATAAAAGAATTTTAATATGAAATCCTTCGTCTCTTATTAGCAATATATGCCTCATCATCTTCATTCGACTAGCAACATCAGTTGGGAGATGAATTGTAGAAAGAGGTAAGTGGAATGGTAGTTCACGTATTTTTGTTTAGACCATGGTTTTTTTCCTTGTGACTAGCAATTTCTGAGATTGAGTTTTTAATTTAATTTAATTGTACCAAGAAAATTCACATACTAGTATCTTGAAAATTCTATAGGTTTTGAATTGTACACGCCAAAATCTGATTTTTCTTACAACCATTTCAATCATTTGTAAATGTATTTATTTTTCTTTTAATTAAATTTAAATTTTGATTCCGCTAATTATATTTTTTAATTTTCATGCCATTTGTTCCGACCGAAGTTCGTTCGTCGTAGTTTTTCAGCTTTGAAGTGTGAAGTGTGTAATTTGCTGTCTTGCATTACTTAATCTCCCTAAATTACACTCGATCTTGATTTTAAATCATAGTCTAGCAACCTTGTTGCCTCAAAAGGGGATAGGTACCTTGCGTCAAATCCGGTAGTTCCGATTTTTTGCTGATTTGTCTAGGATGTTGGCCCAATGAATAATCCACATTTGCGACCTCGAGCGCCGAACGCAAGTTTATAAAAAATCGTGAAATTTTCGACTTTTTCAGATTTTAACGATTTTAACCATAAAAGGACAAAATACTCAAATGAAGAATTGCGGCGAGAGTTCTTCACATACCTGCTGTCAGCAATCCCAGTAGTCTAGATGATGGAGGGTATCTACTACAAAGTTGTGTGGCCTCGAAGCGTATCATGTGGTGCGATAGCTGACACGCGGTATATTATTCTTCGCCAGTGGCGGTTTCTCAATAAGTGCACTCCCAAAAATCATTTTAAAAAAACGAAAACAATAACAATTCTATTTAACAATAGTCTGTATTGTTTTCCGTGTTTGTTGTTTGGTGATGAGCTCGGTGATGAGGCATCAGAATGGACAAAGAATGGCGTTACAGACTGCATTTATCCGAAAAAATAAAAAAATATCAATCTTCAAAGGCAAATATACCTATCTGCTAAATTGAGATTTAATTTATTAGGTAAGCAAGATATACGGCAACAGTTAAATAGTGCATATCGTTTGAGTATCGAAAATCGTAATGAGGAAGTAAACAAAAACAGGTATGTTTTAACCAAAATTATAGACCGTATAAAATTTTGTGGTGCTTTGGAACTTGCTCTCCGCAGCCATTGACAAACGAGAAAATTCAATAAACCCTGGAGTATTTAGAGGGCTCATCAATAAGCTTTTTTATGCCATTTAATAGGCCCAAAAAACTTCGTGTTACGGTGACACTAAAAAAAATTTCCCCTCCGCCATTTTGCCCGTGGCCCCATTTTTCCACCTTTTTTTAAATTGTGCACCCCCAAGACACACCACTACAGCAGTAGTTTTTGATGGTTATCCCACAGATGCAGTACGGAAAAACACACAAAGCTCTGAACGGCTTATAGAACAGCCATATCACACTCATCGCCAGAAATAATAATAAATAACAAACATAATATGGTGCGGGTTCCTCAAGAGAAATTCTTGTCAAATGACAAACAAGATTCGTATTATTATTCGACTACTGGGTCTATAGACACTTGAGGTCTCATGTTGTAGCAAATTCACTCTACTTTAAAAACGTACTGCGTAGGTATTATCGAAAACTAGTCCTTGTATGGTCGCTAGAATCTGAAAAAACTCGAAAATTTCGCGATTTTTTCGATTTTTGACAAAATTTAGTTCGGCGATTTAGGTTACTAACTTGGATTCTATTCATTTAAACAAGCCGTAAAGATTGTATTGAACAACGACCGTAAAACTGCGGTTTTCCCTTACATTTAAGATGCAAATTCAATAATACCATTTATCGCACCCCTGGCCGGAAAGTCCCGGAACATATTGTTATAGGTAAACACAAAACGAAGAAAAATGGAAAAATGTTTTTTTTTCGCATTTGACTTCAATTATCTCGTTAATTATTGCTCCGAGGGAAAAAATGAAGAGAAATGAATTTGTTTAGAATCGAATTTTCTATAAGATACATTATGTATGGAACGTATTTGTGTTTTTAATTAATCAATGACTATATACATACGGTGATCGGGTTTGCCGTATTGTTTTGTATTCAAAATAAGTGGCCAAATACGGATAATATAAAAGATAGGATGAATTTTAATTAGTAATAACAGATTGTTAATTTTCAGGATTACTTTTTTATATCTTTCCATCAAAAACAATAACATTTAAAAATGAACGCTCCATACTAAATCTATAGAAAATTCGATTCTAAACAAATTCATTTCTCTTCGTTTTTTGTTTATTACAATACAGGGCCCTGCAACAGTGCGTCGGTTTTTGCTAGCTCATACTTGGTAAAAAATCTTTTGTGCAAATTGTGCTATAGATGATTTTATGTCATTTTTTAACCTCTGCCGGTAATGGGAAAAGTACCTAATGCGAAAGTTGAATTTAATGATACAGGGTGTTTACAAAAAATTGTAAAATATCTATATTTCAAAGTGCCATAACTATTTTTTTTCAAATAGTATCCTGTGCCTAAACCCCATAGTTTTTAGGTTATTCAATATCTTTCACAAAACAGTTACACATTATGAATGACATGTTTATAAACAGGAGTAGCGGTCATAATAAAAAACCAAAGTATGCCAAACAGTAAACAAGTGCCATAAATTAATTATTTGCTGCAAGTGTATACTCATTATTTCCTACTAGTCATCTTTTTCGAGGAATGTCACTTTGTCGCTTAAGCGTCAAAATAAAAAAAACGTTCGCTCTCCATACTATAACTATAAATCAAATATGCATTGCTCAGAGTATCCAATGCCAACCAGTAAGTGACATCTTTCATTTGAGTGAAAAATTTAAATTTTTGGAAATATGTATAGACTGTTAGATTGTAGAAAAAATCTTGTGTGTAATTCGAGCGCAAATTGATTGTGGATTTCAAGAGATTGTCGCGCTCCGTCTCGTTCAATCGACAATATTTATCATTTGCGCTCTTAATACACAAATAGCTATTATTTCACTATAAAATAGGGAGTAGGTACTTAATTGCAGCAGATAATTTACTTTTGACACTTGCTTACTTTCTGGAATTCTTTTGTTTTTTATTATCACGGCCTACTCCTGTTTATGCACGCAGTGGCGCACCCAGAAAAAAATTCGGTGGGGGTTATTGAAATTAGTAAATCCAAAATGTTAACATAAATACACAGTTACACTTACACTTTGTCCGAAAAAAAACAAAACATAACATAAAAGAAATTATTGATGACTAAAAATATTAAGTTAAACTAAGTTTCAATTTTCTAGGTTTCTGTGCGAATTTCTTTAAAATATTTTCCACAGAAGGGGTGATGTTTCTATAAATGTTTAGAAGAGTTAAGCCATTTAGTCGGTTTTCGGAAGAACTATTTCTTAAATAATTTTTGAGTCTTCTCTCAAAGTTGAAAAACTACGTTCGCCTTCCGCAGTAGAGACAGGCAATGTAGCTAATATAGCAAGTAATACCCTTACCTAATTTGTTTTGGTACCTGCTTGAGGTTCGGTTTCGGAATCACCTTCGCGCGCATGTTAGGAACGTTTTTCCTACGATCGTCTAATTATTTTAATTAGAATCGTTTAGTTTTGTCACAGGATTTGTCAAGATTTGAAACTGTTAATTTATTGTGACAATCAAGTTGCATGGTTGCTATGGATTAAACATGCAAATTACGCGAATTGCGGAATGATTAATTCATAAACGATTGTAGGAAAAGATTATTTTTAAAAAATCTATCAGTGCTTAATTTCGGGGGGGGGAGGGTTTAACCCCGAAAACCCCCCTATGGGTGCGCCACTGTATGCACGTGTAATTCATTATTTAACTGTTTTGTGAAAAATATTGAATAACCTGAAAACTACGGGGTTTAGGCACAGGACACCCCTTATAAAAATTGAATAGCACACAAAACCCTATCGAATAGAGAAATAAAATAGTGGTAGGAAAACATTGAACACAACCTTTGAATTTTATATTCAGTCACCAAACGAAGAGTACATTACTTTCAAACGCTGTAAAAACGAAAATTGGTACAGAAAAATTTATAAAACATAAATTGTAGAGAATTTAATTTCCTACAAAAAGGTCCGCGATAGCATGTGTCTTTAACCATTAATATTAATATATGAGAAGTGTTCAAAGATATTATTGATACCAACGCGGACACTAGGTACGGTACAACTTAACAACTTTAAATGGTTGGTAAGGCTAAACGATTAAAGATAGATATAATATGCCGTCGGGGACTTTTTAATAGTAAATTTAATTGTCTACAATTTTTGTTCTATGAAATTTTCTGTGTCTAAATTGGTATTTGCAGCGTCGCCTATTATCAACATAAGAGTACGGCAACAAATCAATGAGCGCAAGTGGAATAGTTCAGCCTGTTTTTGTCCTCCACACAAAACGATCCAGAAGGAAGAGTAGTGACTGCCCTCGGAAAGTGCGCATATAACTTTTCACATTCGTTTCTTGGCTCCATCTATAGCTCAAGGTAGGTACTTCTAGAGAACCACGCGAAAGTACAGGTTTGACTTTTTCCTAATTTTATATTCAAAGACTGTACGTAAAGAATTGTCCAATATAATTTAATGCCAATATCTCTCAAAACTACTTAGTAGCATTTAGTGTTGTCTTTAGTCTGAAAAAAATAAAATCTCCCCTCTTGCACTTCTATTTGGCCAAAAACAATGTATCCAGTAACGGTGATTTTTACGTTTCCGTGAATGCAGAAATATGTGCGAAACCTCTTAAAGCGATGCAAACTTAATAGGGGAGTACATCAAGCGGTGCCGTAGAATTAGATCTAGGATGCTGAACATCTCTTTATTCTTACTAAACTTGAAGGTGTAAAACTGTTTACCGAGAAACATATTTTCTTCACAACCAAAGCATGTGGATATAAGCATATTAGTTAATCATACATGAATGTGAATCGAATTGTGAAGTTACTCTCATAATGTAAACGGTGATAGGGGGTTATAGGGTTCTCCTAGCAAGTCGAAAACTTTCCGGCAAGTAATTCCTGCAATAAAATCTCCTACATCTAAACAAATCTTGACAGCGCTATAAGAAGTTGACATTTATTTCGATCTTGTTGAAAGTTGGTGTACAAGAAGGCACGTCTAATTAACCCTTTTCAAGGATTTGCAGATTTGTGGCAAACTAAGGAAAAACTCCCTACAGCTCTACTGTGTATACGCACATTCAAACACTTACTTCTGAGAATACCTACCTGATGCGAGAAATTGCTTTTTACAACTTGCTTATAATGTAAACGCTAATGCAGACGTAGGTACTATCGTATCATTCGTATCCCAATTTACTATCCCGTATAAACTACGCTTTAAGAAAAATCGGTAGATGAGTTAAATCGCGGATGCAGGACTAATTAATGGACCATGGTCTACATATATTAAGTTTTAACCTCACTTTTTTGCATTTGATAATTGATTGTAAAGATACAAATTTGATGTTGGGATTGCTTTGTCAGTTGTAGTTGCGTATTTTAAAAGACATTGATTAAAAACTTGTGGATTAATATAAAAATAGACATGTTTACGGTTTTCCCGTCGTGTTCTGAATGAAAAATCAATGAGAACTATTTGTAATTTTTTGATTGGTTAACATTTGTCTTCAAGGTCAAGTTACTTTTTAGACTGGTCCGAAAAGTGCCTACTTTTTGGACAGTTACCATGGTGATACCGACGACTCCCGAAATTGTCCATTTTTTATACCAAAAAGTGTGATAAAATAGCGTCTTATTCAGGTGGTTGGAGAAAAATGAACTTTTCGAATCGTTTGGAGAACAATTGTCGATTACTATAAGCAAATTGTATTTCAGTCGGTTCTTATTTCGATGCGCTTGTGTTCTACTGTTATTTTGTTATAAATTGTAAGTTATAATTTATAAATAATATTTGTACTGCGATAAATTAATTCATTTCAAGACTTGTAAATTGATTGTTAATTGTTCTAAATCCACGACGTAGTTAAATTTACGTTATATTTTTTCTAGAAAGCACTTTGATGTTTATAGGTTTTGTACTAGCCAAAAAAATTAAAATAATTAACAAAAAAGTCAAAAAAATATTGATTGTGTTTTATTACTATCTGTAGATTTTTACACCAGACTAATTTTTTGTCCTTCTGGAAGAGTATCTTCTCTATTGGGTTGTTTGTATCTCTAATAAATTTATTTTGTACGTATTTGATCTCTCCGGCCTCCCTCATACATTTTTACATCAAAGTAGGTTTAGCAGCTTTCTGCATTTACTTACGTGGCCTGTTGTTGAGAAAGTAGGTACTGTATGTAGCAACTTGACGCATGCCATTTCATCAGGACCAAAGATAAAAACGTCACTTTTATTACTTTCTAACATGTCGTATAACTTAACATTTATTTTTTATAGTCAAATATTCCAAAACGAAAAAAAAGCATCCCTAATTATGAAACTGACGTAAGCCTTATAGTAAGATTGCTACAACTAAAAACTTTTAAATTTTATTTTATTAATAAACTGTATCATTTACATATTTAACAAATCAACAGTTAAAACAAGTTGTTAGGCATTAACACTACTCTAAATGATAAATGTCTATTAACTATTAACAATTCAGTTTAAAACAAAAATATTTTCAACACGATTTAAGAATTTTATATTAGCACTTCTTCATAATACAGATGCCAGCTGTACTTAATAATACTTTCACTTGAATATCTTTTCTTCTAAGAAAGCGGGTAAAACAAAAATATTGAAAGCTTGGGTGCAAGTTATACTTACAAAGGTTTACTTAAATATGTTGAAGACGTAATTTTGGTTAACATTTAAAAAAATTATGATTATTGGAAGTACAATTACAAATCAAACAAATACACATTTGTGATGGACTTACTTAACACACACAGTGATAATAAATAAATTAGACATTACAAAATCTTAAAATGTGATTAAATTCAGTACGGAATGTGACCTCAAAAAAGGTTAAATAAAAATGTAATTTCAACTCCATTGTGAAATTTCTACCCTAGCCATAGCATCGTAACTATAGTTTAACAAGTTGGCACAGCACAGCATAGCACAAGTCTAATATTGCAATTTATCACTGAAATCTTGGGCACATTGGTCAGTAACGATCACAATATTACTTTTACGTTTGTGCTCCCGGTTGGAAGTACCGCAAACCATTTGTCTTGAAAGTAAACATATATTAGCTACTACATTTTACCACCAAATTGTAGGCTTACTTACCGACATGTCGTATTCTGTAATATAAGCGGGAATTTCGAGTTGCTCTGGAGACATAACGGCATATAAATATTCTACACCTGGCAAACTATGGACTTTTTGCTTAATTGCGGGAGCCATAAAAGTCGTGAACCACCAGGTCATCATCTAATAAATAAGAGTCAGTAACCACTTATACATTGCTACCGTCGTACCTTTGTCCAAAATGTCGGATGAATGATATAAAAGGCTTTTAGATTCTTCTTGTATTTATAAGGCAAAACGTTATATACTTCTTTAAGCCATGAGAATGAAGGATAATTACTATTTGAAGTTAATGTGTGGAAATATGTAATCACATAATCGCCTTTAACAATGGGATCCAGTAACAATATCAAATACAACAAAGCCTACAAATAAAGTTAACATTATTATAGGTAATGAACGTAATTGTATACTGCAGCGTGTAACTATTTTGTTTTTAATTGGGACCGACTCACTTATGTGGCAGAACGCAGAAGTGAGTGTATCTTGAATTATTCCAATAGCGATCAAAATAAATACTAATACTTCAGCATGTTCAAGGTTTCTATATTTTTTTTGCAAAACTAGTTATTAGAAAGGCATTTTTGATTGATAGGTACATACATCCTAACTATACCGTTATTTTCCAGTCCTTTAGCTTCATTTTGCGGATCAGAAAACCAGAAGATATCGATAGATCATACTACGACTACGAACCTCAATAGTGATGCTGTTTGTTTTGAAAAACTGATTATGTCTCATTATTTGTTTATTATTGTCAGTGTGATACAGCAAACGTAATCAACCGTCATCGTTTTACTTTTACGTTCCCCTTTGTATAGATACCTACACAGGTGGTTGCCACTAAAACATTGCATTCATGAAAACAAATTTTTGTAAACAATTTCTAACCGATAAAAGTTGTGAAAAATATTACATATCTGCACGGACGTCACTTATACTTAAAATTAAATTAAATGCGCATTAAGTTGATATTGATTTTTTAAATCGTAGGTTGTGGAGGATTGTAAGTATAGCATTTTTCAAAGGTCACTAAACAATCAATTTCTAAAGCTTCTTTATCATTTTCAATCGTCTATACAGAATAAAAGCATCTACCTACATGTTCGTGTTACAGTGGACAAGTAGATAATAAAGTTTCCGCGAAGGAATTAAACTATACATTAACAAAAAGCCAGTTAAGTATAAACACCCTGACAGCGACGTATTATCCTAATTAAATTATCAAATTTAAATTGCTAAACCCCAACAATATTATCCTAATGAAGCTTAATTTCGAATAAAGATTCGTAACTCATGGTCAACGTAAGCAAAAAAATCTAAATGGTTGTGCATAGCAGTATTTCCGTATATTCAAAATTCAAATAAATATGTGTTAGTAAATATCTTCATGGCAATTCATACGAGTTTTACTATCACGTTATCAAAAACTATCATTTTATGGGATTATCTACACACAGTTGGTACACCAGCAACTAACTAACAAGATCCGGTTACAAAATCATGTGTTTCAAACATTGGGGGATTTTTCCAAAGAAAAAAGTCCTCCTTATGTGATGGCTTGTCTAACTCGAGAACGAAAATAGACAGCAATGTCAAACCTGCGTCAAACGATTTTTACAAGTTCAAGGATCATTGCTACTGAATATGAGCCGGATTAAAAGTCGCGTTCACGAATGCGAGCTGCGTGACAAAAAATTCCCCTACTGAAAATCGTATGCGATTCTTCGTATCATATTCAAATTATCGTATAACAATCTTGCATAATGAAAACATTACTGCACAGGCACACTATTTTAGCCAACAAATTTTGAACATTTACGAAAAAATTATACGAAAACTCGGCCAGCTTGGCATAGTTGTAAACACTTGACTGCGATCAAAATAGGTCCTGCACTTTTCAGATAAATACTATTTGGGTCCATAAAGATTACGTGTAAAATAAAGGTGAATATGAAACGAAATGCGATGTTGACTAGAATATTTTACGAAACATATTTGCACTTCAAGATTATACAAAAGAAAAGTGAGGAGAGAAAAGTTGCAAAGTTACTTTATAAAACAGGCCCCAAGGGTGCACAATTGCATAGTATCCTTGCCTGAAACCTTATCCACTAAAAAATAAAGATACAATTTTAAACGCTCTAACAAAGTAAATTGCTTTTCAAACAGAAGAATTTGTCACCAGCGTAAGGGTGACTGAAACATTATTTTTTCAAATACTAACAACGCATTAATGAAAATGATAAATTTCTTAGTGGCCACTGGTGAATTTTGTGTTAGTCTAAAGTTCAGTGAAACATTAATTTGCTAGTGCTTCAGTGTTTAAGTACTATGGGGCATTATACATCACTAACAATGTAAGCAAAAGAACTTTCGAGCACCTTAAAATTCAATTTTTAGTTCAGCTTATGGCAAGAAAAAAAAGATTTAAAATTAATATTTCGGTTCAATTAACAATCTCAATTCTCAATTGCTCATTTTCAACGTAACATCCTAGTATGTGTATCTAGGTACTAGATTTATAATAACTTTTCTATACAGGATAATGACTTGCAATTTCCCTATAATTAAAATCCAATTTTGTAATTTTTTTATGTGTTTCCCGTGTCATTGAAATATGTTTTCTAATTACAAATACGACATGTACCGGGTGATCCAAAATAACTGCATACAGTTTAAATTTTGCGCTTAAAGTGTTTTTTACTTAAGGCATTGGTAAACATGTTTAGAAGGTGGTTTATTTATGCTATAATCGCCATCCATTGGTGGCGTTTCTTAATGTGAGTTTTTATTTTCTCATCATCGTACTGCGATCCATGCGTTTTAAAGCAAACAGTTCTTTTCAAAGGTCTTTGCACGTGCAACTTTTTGTAAAGGAAAGTATATTAAGAGAAAATACTTTATCATCATAGGATCATGTAATCACAAACTAGTGACGCAGGGGCAGGGCTCACCTTTCGTGAATTGAACTGTACGTCGGTTTAGTAAATCGTATAAAGAAAACATCTTTAAATGCACACGAAGTTGAAGCGAGTAACGCACACTTATATTTGTTTAATTGTGCAACAATTATTTAATTCGTGGAATACATAATAATTATAGTATTTTAATTGCTATTTCAATATATAATTACAAATATTCTCAAGACAAAGAAATATTCATAACAATGAGTCCTTTAAAAGTGATACATTGACATCACGGTTTCCCAAAAAACCCTAATAATATGGAACGCACACAACTTTATTATGCGTTACGGCATTTAAGATGAGTCAACAGCTTTCCACCTACTTGTTAAAAGTTGACCTTAAAGTTGTACCTATCATTAACATTAGATTATGTTAAAATGGAACTCAAAATATATCACAACCCATATAAAATGCAAATCTTCTTGGTCATCAAGGTATCCAATGCATTTTCTTGACAATATTTGCTGTCAAATTATAGTTTTTGACTTTTGGACTGGATTGTGCTAGCAGTGTGTCAAATACAGGATCGATGTTTTGTACCACTGGGCACAAAGTAAGCAGATCTGATTTTTTTTGTTAAACATTCTCATTACTACCTATGTTCATCATAATTAGTGCCTAGTGGTTTTAGGTTCCAATGGCATGGAAAACATGTTTTTGTCAAACTTTACAGTTGTGACCTATCGTGATTAGGTGATTACCACTATGTTACTTACACGTGTTTTTGTTGGAATATTACTTAACCACTGAGAATAGTCATAATCCTGTTACTTATTTTCTAAAACCGTTTTAATTGAACTGCGTCTCGACCGATTCACGATGACGCTTCACGGTTGAATTTCTTAAAATGTGACTGTAAATCGTTAAAGTCAAAGGTACAGTCCATGCTAATCAGACCTGCCATGAAGCGGTTGCAGCGAAGCGGTCCAGGTGCAGTGGTAAAACTTACGACAATAGCGCATAGGTACGAGATGATTGAAATGCGTCTGTTGACATGCGTAATGAATTCAGGTCAATCTCAATGACACTGCAGTATACATTGGTAATAATACAAGTTAAAGTAATATGACTTGCCTTATCCAGATTAAGTTTGTTAAACGGAAACCATTTACCAACGAAGACAACAACTGGACGACCCAACCTATCGACACCACTTTGATATAAACAGCCTATGCCAGAGACTTCACTAAGATCTTCTGCTTTCGCTCTCCTAAGAAGACGTTCGTATCTGTAACAACAACAAAATATTAAGTCAGCACTGCAACGAATTTCAAAGTGGTAGTTCATTTCATTAGATTGTCTCAGAACTTTTTGTGGGAAATTTATTCTTCTACTATAGTACGTTTTTGTCTCTCTATTTAATAATGATAATTATTATAATAATAATGTCTTTGTTTAGATATTCATCCAAAAGGCGAAGTTCACTTAGGGGCAACATCGCCATCAAGTGCTCCTACATTTAACCCCGAACACCACTTGAAAATTATACAATGCAAGGGATCGATAACACCCCATTAGTGGAGGTGTAATAGGCTGACACAAGTTGTACAAACATTTCTTGGATTGCAGCGACCACGATATTGCTTTAAACTTTAACTTATAATTTAACCATCAGTTTGTACTCCTCTCTATTTTACAGTATGGTGGCTAGTTATAACAGAATCTTGTCATATTCCGTATGACATTAGGGTGCTCCTGCTCCTTATGCTCGAAATTGAATAAATTAGTATATATAAAAATAAGGCGCGTGAAGATAAGAACGAGTGTTCAAGTAGATAAGAGTCGAAACGCTACAGTGTTGCCCGTTCTAAAAACTATCGTGACGAAGCACAAATGGCTGTATTTCTGCTAGTAGTTAGGGACCGACGGACGGACATAGAAAGTGGCTTCGTTGGAAAATGTGCTAAAAATATTATGATATCTGTAACGCTCTATTAGGTTTTCAACCAAACCATGTAGGCCTTAAATCAGTACATTGAATAATTTCTAAGATATAGCCAAATTTTAAAGTGCACAGAAAGACAGACAGACACATTATGTAAAACTATAACGTACTTGTGGTGGCCCAGGAAATATAGACTGAAATGGGTCATGTCCTGCAAAAGAGAAGTAGTAACACCCCTAAAACCCCCGAAATTTGTTTGGTTTTTCAGTTTTTCAATCATATCTTCTTAAAGAAAAAAGAAAAAGAAAAAAATATTGTTACTAGAAATTGTAGAAAATACAATTATGCACAAATTTGGTATACAGGGTGTTCCTGAATATGATGTAATTACAAAAGGGGCTAATCTTTGGCGTATTTTATGACTAAAAGTTCATATAAACATAGGTCTGTAAACGCTGCGTTACTAATCTACAGGGTGTTATAGTTCTACCGTATACCTTACAATTTAAACCTTTAATTTATATATGAACATATGCAGGCCTAAGGTACAATTTTCCATGCCAACTGTCAAAACTAATCAAAATAAAAAAAGATATCCAATAATAAAGTCAGGGCCTACTGGATCATTATAAAAGTTATACTTTCAATCAGCTAGAGGAAAATTGATTTTTATTTTTTTCTCGATAACGGTCGCAAAATACAAAAAAAAATTACAAAAGTCCTCGTATGTGCATCGATGAGACTTCAGCGCATTTTTGGCGTGACGGATCAGTATTGCATTAGCAATCAGTATTTTATCAGAAAATTTTAATTATAAAATAAGGTTTATGCAAACATATATTTCTTTATTAATTTTCACGAACTCTAATAATAATTGGACGATGGTATGAACAGTACGACTCGTAAACCGAACAATCAACAGTGTAGTTGACCATTTTGCCAAAAGCTCCGTCAATTATTGTTCCGCCATTCGTTGTCACTGTTCGGGGAGAGATGATCACTATATTGAATTTCTCTTGAAGAAATTTCTCTACCCGATTTCCGTCAGTTAATGGGAAATTAAAGTCTCCCATAATCAAGACGTCTTCAGTTGCCTCAATGAAATCCCCGATCTCCGATAACGCTGCAATCAACAAGTTGTTGCCTTTACTAGGAGCATCAGTGGTTCAAATTTCAAAGAAATATCTCCATAAATAAGAAAGTTGGCATTGCGCAGTCACTGCGCATGCCTGCACATAATTTTTACTATTTGCGAAATGTTTGCCTTTACTAGAAGCATCTGTGGTTCCAATTTCAAAGAAATATCTCCATAAATAGGAAAGTTGGCATTGCGCAGGGATTGCGCATGCGCACACATAATTTTTAGTATGTGCGCAATGTTTGCCTTTACTAGAAGCATGTGTGGTTAAAATTTCAAAGAAAAATCTCAGTAAATAGGAAAGTTCGCATTGCGCAGCACTGCGCATGTCTACATAATTTTTACTATGTGTGAAATGTTTGCCTTTACTAGAAGCATCTGTGGTTAAAATTTCAAAGAAATATCTCCATAAATAAGAAAGTTGGCATTGCGCAGTCACTGCGCATGCCTACACATAATTTTTACTATTTGCGAAATGTTTGCCTTTACTAGAAGCATCTGTGGTTCCAATTTCAAAGAAATATCTCCATAAATAGGAAAGTTGGCATTGCGCAGGGACTGCGCATGCGCACACATAATTTTTAGTATGTGCGCAATGTTTGCCTTTACTAGAAGCATCTGTGGTTAAAATTTTAAAGAAAAATCTCAGTAAATAGGAAAGTTCGCATAATTTTTACTATGTGTAAAATGTTTGCCTTTACTAGAAGCATCTGTGGTTAAAATTTCAAAGAAATATCTCCATAAATAAGAAAGTTGGCATTGCGCAGTCACTGCGTATGTCTACACATAATTTTTACTATTTGCGAAATGTTTGCCTTTACTAGAAGCATCTGTGGTTCCAATTTCAAAGAAATATCTCCATAAATAGCAAAGTTGGCATTGCGCAGGGACTGCGCATGCGCACACATAATTTTTAGTATGTGCGCAATGTTTGCCCTTACTAGAAGCATCTGTGGTTAAAATTCCAAAGAAAAATCTCAATAAATAGGAAAGTTCGCATTGCGCAGTCACTGCGCATGTCTACATAATTTTTACTATGTGTGAAATGTTTGCCTTTACTAGAAGCATCTGTGGTTAAAATTTCAAAGAAATATCTTATAGAATATTTCATAAATAAGAAAGTTGGCAATGCGCAGTCTGCGCAAAATAGAGAGTGCAATAAAACTGTCTGAAATGGGCAAATATAGACCATAGCAGCTATCAATTAGCGAAAACCCGAAGTCTCTAGGTGTCCCAGGGGCCGAGATCTCGATGGAACGGACGGGCGGACGGACAGACGGAAACACGAGCACATAAGCGTTACCTCAACTTCGTTGTGTTACGCTAAAAACCGCTCAGACCTGGATACGATATTTTTAACCGAAATTATACCACAAACTGTAAAACTCATCACCGTGTTATGATTTTGATTAGTTTTCACCTTGAAGTAGTTATCCTAGATAAGTCATATTAGTGACCGTAGTTAGGCAATGCCAAAAGTATATTTTATAAAAAAGCCATTCCTCTACGTCAATCGGATCGGCTTAAAATCGATATACGCACGGACAAGTTTTCAAGCGGCGTTAGTTATTTCGCAAATTCTAATTAAACGCAACCACTACGGGCTTAATGAATGTCCATTGCGCCAATAACTCGACAAGACGGAGATAATGCAAAAAACCGGACCTCTCTACGATGTCTAGATCAAAAGTTTTTCAATCCGCCCAGCCAGCCAGCCAGCCAGCCGGACAAAGTGAAATGATAAGCTCCTTTTTGTTACCAAAAATGCGCTAAAAATAGAAGAAAGAGAGACCATAAACTTTCCAAATAAATCAGAAAATCAAATCTTATTTTACAATCTACATTCACATCCGTTATGACTAAAGGCATTTCGCAAAATTTTAAAGAAATCATAGTACCTAACCGTTTTGCCGACAAAAAATATTTTAGTCTTCTAAATTTGACATTTTTTCTGAGTTTTTTTGTAGTGACCTGGCACCATTTTTTTAAGTTGTACACAGAAAAATAAGGTCTTTCGTAACTTACTACAAATTTAAGGTTGATATGTATTTGAAACAAAATTCGATGCCGTTGCGGTCCTCCAAAATTTTCAAAAAACCGGCCCGTTTATCGTTTTCATATGACTAATAATTTTAACAAAATCCGTCGGGCCATTATCTCGGAAAATTGGCAACGTACGTACGTATGATCATACATACACGGGAAAAATTTTATTCTTTAATTAGTAATCTGACTTATGCTATACAAATTTGACTTGTGCTATACATATGTTTTGTTGGTCTATGCACTAAGATATATTAAAAAATAATAATAAAAGTTGCTTGAAATTATCTAAAACTTGACAAAATCTTAACAAGTCCCAAAAAAGGGTGGTTGCAATTAATAGTCACCTATCTCGAGCTAGGAAGCTAAAAATTGATAAAAATAATTTTGATATCTTCATAATTGTTTCAAATGTTGGATAATTAGGCAAAATGGATTTTAGTAGATTTCAGGGCGATCTATAGATTAAAAAATAAAATTTGTTTCACTTTTCGACAAATATGCGTATAAAATACCAAAAGCAACACATCAGATTTAAGTGAGTAAAGTAAAATTCGAAAATATAAAAAAATTATATTCAATTTAAATTTCGAAATTTTGAACCCATTACTTTACAGGGGCGAATCCAGGTTGGTGTACACACAACAGTATGTTCAAACTTTCAAAGGCTGTTTCAATGTTTCACAAAACTCATCGCAGGTTAAAGTTTTCTCTGTACAATTTTACGACAAATTGTAAAAAAATCATGTCGCTGTCTTTAACTAGATCCCAATGGTATGTAGGGTGACTTAAAGCAGCAGAATTAATTACAGCAGTTACCAGAGTAAAAGCACGATACGCATACGATTCGCAGACTCCCAAGTCCCACTCCGATGAGATACGACGGATGGGGTTAGCTAAACGGAAAGTGGAATTCTATATGCCTTAAATAAGTCAAATAATTATTTCGTGTATGACAATTTATGTACAAAAACTCACGAACACAATGGCCCGTATGAATAAAAATAAACAAATGCTTATACTTGCAAAATTCAAAGTAAATACTCGTAACTGCCCCTTCATACTGGTCTGTTTAGCAGCGCTGCACTACGTCCTGTCCTTCTGCTTAGCAGCGCTGCTAAATCGCCCAGTACGAAGGAACACTTACGAGTATTTACTTTAA